CAATGTAACACCAAATGAAGCCTGGAAGAAAACCCAACGTTGAACACCTAAGGGTATTCAGGTGTATTAAACGTGAAAAAATTGCCATGAGTCATCAAAATAAGCTATAAGATCGAAGTATAAAGCTTTTCAACATTGGGACTGAAATGGGCAACAAGGCTTACATGGTACATGATCCAGAAACCGTAAAAATCTATACTAGTAGAGATGTGGTATTTGAAGAGGATAGATTGTTGAAGTGACACAGTAAAGTAAGTTCAACATTACGGATTCAAGTACTTTTGTGCTTATTAAAAATCCACCATATGCTAATGATTAGGTTGAATTAAACTCGATCCCACTTGTCACCTATCGTAACAATAACGATGACTAAGAACAATTATCTCATTTTTCAGAACCAAGTCACCATAAAATCAAATGACCACCATATTGCAAACCATAAATCTAGAAAATTCAAGTTCAACAACCTCTAATACTAAAGCTCTTATACAACTCAGAACTATATATATATATATATATATATATATATATATATATATATATATATATATATATATATATATATAGTTGAGATCGGTTGAGAACTCATAGTTTCCCGAGAACCTGAGAACTAAAGGTGGAGCGTTAGATCAAAATTAACTCATTAAGGGCATGATCATAATCTTACCGATCTCATGTAATGTTTATTTATTTGTGTTATTGAACAAAATTAACATAATAAATCAAATTTCGGATTTTTTTTTAAAATAATTTTTGATTTTTTTTAGAAAATGGAGATTTTTTAGTTTTTTACAGAAAACATTAATTTTTTTTTAAAAATTGAAAAAAAAGTAATTTTTTAAAAAAACTGTATTTCTTTTAAAAAACTGTTTTTTTTAAACTGCATTTTTTTCAAAAAAAAACTGCAATTTTTTTATAAAAACTTTTTTTTTAAATTGCATTTATTTTCAAAGAAACTGTAATTTTTTAAAAAAAAAACTGCAATTTTTGTAAAAAAGCTGCAGTTTTTTTTTTCAGAAAAAAAAAACCTGGAATATTTAAAAAAACCCTAATTTTTTTAACAGAAAAATCAATGTTTTAGGTGCATATATGCATATTTTTTCAAATGCATATATGCATATTTTTATACTATAATATTCGTACGTAAATCATAAAAAATCTTATTTTTATTAATCAATCTATAAATATAATAATACAAGTATTTAATTCAATACAAAATAAAATATGAAAAATAAAAAAAACTACAAAGATTCACAGTGTTATCATTTCTTCATATCAAAATTTCCATATTTTCTTCAATTTCACTTTTTACATCTTCAACATTGTCCACATATTCTTTCAAATCTAAAAGAAAATAAAAAAAAATGATTAATGTAAGAACACTCACAAAAATGCATATGTATATATCATGTAAGCTTCATATGCGATTATGTAATGTGATATTCACATGTGATTGTATCTTTTAAGATTCAAATGTGAAATTCACAAGAAAATAAGAACAAAAAACACTCACACAAAATGCATTTGTGCATATAGACGTAATTCATATGTGATTCACTCGTGACTTACATATGAATTACATGTAATTTATATGTGAACCACATGCGATTTATATGTGAATCACATGTGATTTATATGTGAATCACATGTCATTCATATTTGATTCACTTGTGAATTACATGTGATTCATATGTGAATCACATGTTATTTATATGTGAATCACATGTAATTCATATTTCATATGTGATTCACTTGTGAATTACATGTGATTTATATGTGAATTACATGTTATTTATATGTGAATCACATGTGATTTATATGTGAATCACATATAATTCATATATGATTCACTTGTGATTTATATGTGGATTACATGTGATTTATATGTAAATCACATGTAATTCATATGTGATTCGTTCGTGAATTACATGTTATTCATATGTGATTTATATGTGAATCACATGTAATTCATATGCGATTCACTTGTGAATTACATGTGATTCATATGTGAATTATATGTGATTTATATGTGAATCAAATGTAATTCATATGTGATTCACTTGTGAATTACATGTGATTCATATGTAAATTTCCCATTTTTTTTAAGATGGATTTGAATAACATTGGATTTATAAGAAGACCAAAATTTATATGAATTACATGTGATTCATATGTGAACTTCCCCCTGTATAAAAGCTACCTGATCAATCTTAAATTTTGTAGATTCACATCGTTTTGGTTCATGGGTATTTTGAAATCCATCATCCCCATCCATCGTCTGAAAAAAACTAAAACAAAATTTATTATTTAAGAGAAAAAAAAACTAAGGTGGGAATTTGAATTTTGAAAGATAAAAATAAATTTACCTCAATTAAGTTATGTTTAACAAGTTATATCTGTCTTTGAAATAGCTCTTCTGCCATAATCTTGTATCTTACACCCAAATCAATAAACACAACTCCTTTCATGGAAGTTGGGAAATCTTACTTATACTGAAATAAGAAAATGGAAATATATACATATATATATATTATATATATATATATCTATATATATATATATATATATATATATATATATATATATATATATATATATATAAATTATGAAAAATAGGCACAAAGTTAAGAGCTTGTTTGGTATGATGGAATGGAATCAGAGAGAAATGGAATGAAACAAGGGAATTGAATGGATCATTACATTAAATTCGTGGACTGCCATCGAGTTTCTTTTTCTTAATAATAAGCATATTCTGAGTTTGAATATAACAATAATTACAGATTTTTAATACTAAATTCTACAACAAAAAACGGAGGTAAGATGAACCACATATATAATGGGCAGTGTACATAAACAACATTAAAAACAGAACATTAACGATTTGCAGCAATTTCCCAAAAGTCATAGAAATGAAAAAATTCAAAATTTTCAAAACTCACAACAAGGTCCATTTCCCATACCATTTTAAAAAATGGTCAAAAAACAACAGATGGTATTACCTGACATATGCGAGCACATTTAAACAATCAAATGGGTGTATGCATTAGTTAGACAACAAATGAGCTAAAATGTAAGAAAACATTGATTTACACAAACCAAATTATGAAAGTATTGCAATAATAATAAATAAGCAAATGCGGACCTGTTTACACATCCCAAGATATAAAAATAATATTACCATATCAAAAGAATATACTTTCAAATCCATTACTTATTGTTTTGAGCTTATAATATTAAATTCCTAAGTTTTTCCCTAACCCACAAGATCCAATCCATGTATATTTCTTTTCTGGATGTCACCCAATAATCAAGTCATTTAATTGTTAAAATACTATTACAAATTCTATACTCTTGAGAGCCCTATTTGTTGACGATGACTAGATAAGGATGTAGTGTATAATTATCTTCATACATGTGATCTTAGCTCATTCATAATTAGCATAAACATATGTATATTTCCAATGAATGAGATAAAGTGATTGGTTTCAAACATCATCTTCTACAGAGCATAAAAACATCGAACTAATTACTCACAAAATCAAGTATCAATCAAATCAATTCATAAGCAGCACAATTAAAATCAATCAAACTAATAAGAGGCAAAATTAGTGTCGATAAACATGATTGAGATGAATAAAAAAATTGCCAATGAAATGAATAGATAATAGGCATAGTTACATTCGATGTAACTGGTACGAGATACAGTTAATATCAATAAACTCAATCCAATTGAATACTTGAATAAATCCATGGAGGGATTTAATTGACATGAATCATGATTAGATTCAATACACTTATCAGATGCGATTGAGTTAGGAATGCTCCACCACTGTCACACATTCTCATAGAAAAAGACACAGATTTAATTCCACATCTGATCGAAAGAACAAGTAATTTTTTTCTTCTCATCAACTAGATCAACAAATTAATGCTATAATCTAAATCACTATACCTGAATTTCTACATAAATCTGTGATAAGTCAAAGAGCTTCCTCCTAGGCAAGTGCAAAACTCATCGATTTCATCGGATTCTTCGTTATATCTCGATCATAAAAATACTTTATGATCTATCATTTGTATCGATCTGTCTCTCGATCTCCTTTGACGTCCTAATCTAATGAAAACAATGGAACAACGATGAAGACGTAGTGCTGAGAGACAAAATTTCAGTTGAATAATCCAAATCACTATACCTGAAAACACACTAGATTGATTTGTTTTCGATTTCACCAAACTAGATTGATTTGGAGGAAAGAGATCGACCAGAGCAATCAAATCGATGAAATGAACCTCTGGTTGATTTATTAGGGCACGAAACTCCGAGAGGGAGAAGGACGCAACCATGTAGGTCAATCTATCAATCATTGGGGATCTTCATTGAAGATCGGTTTATGATATAATGGATCGATGAAATGGATTTTGTTTCCAGATCTACGGTAGCGGCGTTAGGCGGTGGAAATCATGGAGGAAATCGGTGATTGAGGTCGATCCAGGGAAGAGGGGTGATTCGGTGAAGAAGACGACGTGAGAGAGAGAGAGAGAGATTTAATTGGGGGAATTAAAAGAATCATTTTAAAATCATACCCCCGTGTCTTATTTTGTCTATGTATTTACAAAAATGTCACAATGCATCTTGTCCATCCTTTTTTTTTTGATCCAACGCTCCAATATATATATATATATATATATATATATATATATATATATATATATATATATATATATATATATTAAAGGCTAGGAAAAAAAAAAGAAAATAATAATAGAGTTGTATAACTCTATTATTTTTTTATCCCTGTTCGTTCATGTTCCTCTGTTTTCTTTCTATTGTTACCTTAGTGCACAAGGTTCAAGGGCGTGAAGGAGGTCCTGTGGTTACATAGTACACTTCAGTTTTAAAACTTACGTTGACGATTTTTCACTATATTATACTATTACAATGATACTATGCTTTCAAAACTTATGCGAAGTTGACGAACTTTTTATCATGGTGTTGCCAGACGGAGATTCTTTAAAGGCACTGAAGTTGGAGGATACCGGAAATGCTGTATTGATACATTGTACATCAAGAATCACATTGTGGGAGAGCTTTAAAACGGCAACAGATACGCTTCTTCCAGGTATGATGATGAGCTCAACCGTAAGAACATTGACATCCTGGAAAAGTTTAGAAGACCCTGCATGTGGACGCTTTGTGTTTCAGCTAGATCCAGTTACAAACCGATACTGCATTTTTGACTCATCACTTGGTCATTATAGTTGGAAAAGTGGGAGCATGTCGAAGAATAGCTTTGATGATAATCAAATTTACCCTCAGGCATTAAAATTTCTGTATAGCACTAAAAAGAAACAAAATATATCTCTTCTTAACAGAGCACTTCCAAACTATAACGGAATCGAGCCTTACTCAAGGCTGGTAATGAATCATACTGGGCATATACAATATTTTAGTTGGTCAAATGGGTCAGAACACTGGGTTTTGGATTGGCAAGAGCCAAAAGATAATTGTAGTAGATATGGTGTGTGTGGCTTATTTGGGATGTGCACCCAAAATAAGGATTCGTTCACATGTAGTTGTTTGCATGGATTTGAACCTACTTCACCCGATGAGTATAAGGCTCGTGATTATAAGTCTGGATGCAAGAGAACTTCTGAAATTATATGTGATAGAGGAACAAACGACACATTCCTGAATAAAACGATGATTAGTATGGATGATACAACCCTACCTTTCTTTAAATCAGAAAATGAATCGGAATGCATAAAGAAGTGCCTTGAAAACTGCACGTGTTTGGCTTATTCTTTTAGTTCTCCAAACAAGGGAGAGATATTGGACCTAAGTCGCAATGCAACCCAAGGCGGTTGCTGGTTCTGGGATTCTGCACCAAATAATCTTCGAGCCAACGGTTTACATACTATTTCTTTTCGTGTTTCTAAAGGTACTTCATCATTTGACAAATCAACTGTATAGTTGCAAACTGTTTTTAGAAAAAGAATCATTGAGAGATGACCATATATTTGCATTTGAAATGAAGGACATATGAGTTTGTTGTTTGTTATTTTGGATCTTGAAAAATTATAATTACCTTACTTTAAATCATACCCTTCGTTACTAAATCGAGCCAAGTAAGCAGATAGATATAAACATCTAAAATTTAAAGCAAGTTTATGTTTGGCAAAAGTAGATGTAAGATTTTGAAATTTATAAAATTACATAAAATTAAAACCTAAAAGTTACTTTGAAGTAGTTTTGATTCTCATTTTTTTGTTTAAAATAAGAGCTTTAAGCCTCACTCCTAAATAAATATTTTTCTTTTAATTCAAGTTTTTTTTAACCCTAAAAGCTAAAATCTCATAAAAACTCATGCCTCACATAGCCATAGTCACTACAACTCGTAAACTAAATGGGTGTCAATTAAGGTATGTTAGAACAAGAAAAATACTGGCTTAAACTCTTTCCTCAAAATGTGGTTGATTATGATCAAAATAAGATCAAACTTTCAACATATTTTTATGTACCGATTTAGAGGAAGCTTGTTCTTTTCTATATATATGTCCTTTATAGACTCACACTGCCCCATTTTCCTAATTCCTATGCAGGTTCTATCATCTATTCATCATCTGGAAAATCAAAGCCTGAAACCGAAAAACGTCTTCTTGCTATTGTTATTGTTGTTACGGGTCTGGTGATTTCAACATTTTGTGGTATTAGCTATATTTTGTTTAAAATATTGGTGAATAGAAGTGGTAAGTCATTATACAAATTCAACATATATAAACACTTTATGTTCTTTTGAATTTGTCTATTAACGCTTGCTGTATAAGTTTTCATTTCAAACTTAAAAAGTGAACTTGAGGCTCACTCATCATCTACCGTATCATGAATAACAGAAAACAACCAAGGAAACATAGAAGTTCAATCTAGTGATCTGAGGAGACGTATCGGTATCACGGAGTTACTTGATCTAGATCACTCAAAAGAAGATGACAGAGAAGGCATTGATGTGCCATATTTTGAGTTGGAAAGCATAATGGCTGCTACTGATGACTTCTCAGAGAAAAATAGACTTGGACAAGGTGGATTTGGGCCTGTGTACAAGGTGATAAAGAAATTATTTTAAGTTGATTTTCTCCACAAGAAGTAGACATGTAGTAACTTACGTTATTATGAGTACGTGATTAGGGTAAGCTTCCTGGAGGCAAAGAAATTGCTGTGAAGCGGTTGTCAAGCCTCTCTGGACAAGGTTTACAAGAGTTCAAAAATGAGGTTATGCTGATTGCTAAACTTCAACATCGAAATCTTGTAAGACTAGTGGGATATTGCATTGTTGGAGAAGAAAAGATGCTACTCTATGAATACATGCCAAATAGAAGCCTAGACAAGTTCATATTTGGTTAGTTAGTTTATCGATTCATATACTTTGTATCTATACACATACATTACAAAATGAAAAGTTATCATTTTGTTTGCAAGATCGAACGATGTGCACATCACTGGGCTGGGAAATGCGATTCGATATCATTATGGGAATTGCTAGAGGACTAAACTATCTCCACCATGATTCTCGGTTGAGGGTTATTCACAGGGATTTGAAAACAAGTAACATTTTGTTAGATGAGGATATGAATCCAAAAATTTCGGATTTTTGTTTGGCTAAGATAGTTCAAGGTAAAGATTTAGAAGCTACCACCGGAAGAGTCATGGGAACTTTGTAAGTTTATTAATATTAGTACTCTTTTCTTTAAAAAAATAAATCCACACTTGTAGATCGAAGTGGTTATATAATTATATTAGTGTGGATTTGAGAAACAGATTCCCATTATGCAATATGTATGTGGTTCCTAACAATATCCTGTGTGTTTAATTTTCAGTGGTTATATGTCACCAGAGTACGCACTAGATGGGTTGTTCTCTATAAAATCTGATGTATTTAGCTTTGGAGTAGTAATGCTAGAGATTGTAAGTGGGAAAAGAAACATTGGATTCTATCAATCCCGCAGAAGTATAAGTCTTTTAGGACATGTAAGTGCTATAAGAACTTTGAAGATGTTACCTACATTGTTAATTAATTGACATATAATTTATATGTCTAAAAATATCTCAGGCATGGAACTTATGGAAAGAAGATAAGCCATTTGAGTTGATGGATCAAATACTAATGGAATCATGCAATTCGAGTGATGTATTGAAGTGTATAATTGTCGGACTCCTGTGCGTACAAGGAGACCCTGATGATCGTCCAAACATGACGAACATTATTTTGATGCTTAGTGGTGATATTGTCACGCTTCCAAGTCCAAAAGAACCAGCGTTCATTCCAGGGAGGGACTACGCTATTTCCTCGTCCTCTAGTTCTTCTATGACAAATACGCACTCTAAAAACATGTTGACAATCACTAAGCTAGATGGACGCTGATCGAGAGGGTATTTATTTTACCCATGAAGTGTATTTGTGTTTATCAAATATATGATTCTCACTTTTAACAATATTTTCTAGTAATAGATATATTATCAATATCTGTCTCGTATTTTGTAGATATGTTACAACTGAATTAGAAATATACTTTCCATATGTTGTATGAACTCATTTTGTGCTTAAGCAACCCAAATCTAACCTTATCTACCTTCCTAATAAATGAATAGTTACTTGATTACACATGTCATCTCCATAGCCCTCCAACTCATCATGTGCCACGTGTCATGATATGAGGCATTTCCTGCATTTTCGTTTTTCAATTACAAATCTACCATAATAAATGAAAATAATTTTACGACATGTCACACTCTCATTCATTTTGCCACATGTCATTATTTTTATTATTTTGAATTAATTTTTATTCCAAAATGTAATTTTGTCGTTTTTCTATTTTATTAAATTCCATATGGTATGTAAATTTAATAATAAATAAATATCAATTTTATTAATGGACTTTCTTTATAATTTCAAAATTACTAAAATAAAATCTCATTAATTTGCTTTGATTATTTATCTAAATTATTTGTTTAAATTTAAAAGAGAAAAAAAAACTTTAATTTTAATAATTCAATATTTTTCTTATTTTTTTATAAATACAAAATTTTCAAATGTTTATACATATTTAATTGTTTTAAATACACCCATGTAATACATGAGGCTCACACCTAGTCAATATAAAAAAACAAATCAATATCAATATCAATAATTACGATTACGATACGAATAGGAATCAAATACCGATTTCGAAGCTTTCTAGTTTTTATCATCCCTTGATATTAGGCTTTTTATTTGCTAGACATAATGACATTGTTATTGTACACTGCTACATGCCATATTCCCGCCTAAAAGCTTCATACTTGCGTACCTACAAAATAGGCATTTCAATTGGAAACTATTTAATTATCCCATCAAAATCAGCAAAAAATCATGTATTTATTTTGAATTTGAATTAAATTATATTAGCCAATAAATCAATCAGCTAATATATTTGTGTTTGTATGTTCTGTGTGGTTCATTTGTTTACATCATCTTAGTTTGTTCCTATTTAGTTTCAAATTCACTCTTCTAAAGCAACTGACAATTCATTCTTCTGTTACATTTGTACAAAAGATTGCTATTCTACCCTTTTTTTCAATTAGTGTAATCCCATTTTCTGATAATTAAATATTCTACTAACTCTCGTGAACATTTTTTATCCAACTCTTCATGGTATTCTGATGAACAATGAAAAATAAAATAATTGTATTTTGTTTACAGAATCTCAAATGCAATCGTACAAAAGATTGTACGTTAATCCTTTTTTTCATTATAGAATCATTGTTATGTTTAAACTAATACAAGGTTACTCTTTTCTTCTTTTGTCCACTGCTCTCTTTGACAACTGGAAATTAGTATGTTATAAAGATAAATTGTAATTAATAACATCCTAATTTCTAGAAGTCAAACATAACAGGGGATTGTTTATCAAACATAACATAGTAAACAGATTTACAAGTTATAGAAACAACAAAATAACCAAGTTGTCATCTTTTCTGAATATCTATGTGAATATGTGTGAATCTGCCAACTTTTTAATATCCTACTTTCCTGTTTACAAAGTAAACATGGACTGTTTATGTAAACAAAATCCATAACAGTTTAGACAGAGACCATTTTTATAATTTAGAGAGGGACTATTTTTTTTATCAAAGTCCGTAACGGTTTGTGTATGTTTATCGAAATATATAAAAATGGTCATTTACGCAGTTTGTGACTGTGGTTTCTGTATGAACAGGGGCAAAATGGTCATTTACACTGTTTCTATATGTTTATCGAAATATATAAAAATGGTCGCTGTTTTAATTATTTACTAGATTGATCCTTGATTTTCCAGTTTGTCACATTTGGTCCATGTTTGACATATTTACATGAATGGTCCTTAATTTTACATTTATACACATTTGCTTCCTTTTTGTCGTATCTAAAAGAATTGTCATGTTTATATAATAACTACATTACTTACAACAATTATTAAAATGAAAGTTTGTTGTTATAATATACACAAACTTCAAAGTAAATTGCTATTTTTTCCTTATAGCAATGTACTTTCAATAATGTTTTAATATCATACTTTGTTTCATAACTTTTTTTCAACAAAAATAAAACAGGGTATACTTGGAAAGTATAATGCTATAAATTGTATAGATTTTCGGGAATGTTAAGTGAATGCCAACATTACCTAAAAGAATTACCTTTATATACTTTTTACTTAACTCATTTTCTACATTATTTACTTTCAGCATCATGTCTACTGCAACCATCACCTTCTTCAATGGCATTGGTTGTTGGGTTTTGAGCATTCTAACACTCCTATGGTGTACATGCAACCCTAAATACCTTGGATCTATGTTTTCTCTATTATACATGAAAATATCAATTTCCAAGGTATTTATCCTAACTAGCATATTATGAAGTACAAGTAATATAAAAACTAGTAGAAATACATACCTCTTTGTTGGTGCTTGATTCCATGGAGCTCAAGAGCCTAGTGCCCCAAATGTGACACCTCAAATGGTTCACACAACATCATATGCACTTGGAATAACTTAGAGAGAAAGTAGAACACTTCATGAAATCGGTTTGCCCTCTTCATGCATACATGGTGGTCGATTTTGCAAGAATAAGATGCTTATATAGTTTGTCACAATTAGGGTAAACCCTAATTGTCATGGCTTTCCATTTCCTTGGATCCATGGGTTCAAATACACCATGGAGCATCCATGGAGCATCCTATGGGTTTTGGCCCAACTTGATAATCCATGGAGCATTAGCCCACTATATAAGTATGGATGATTTACACAATCAACCCATATATTTAATTAGTCTTCTTTTTTATCACTTAATTAATTCTAAATTAATTCTTGATCAATACTAATTAAATAATCTTATTAATATATTAGAACTTATAATATATTAATAAACCTTAAGTGTTATTTCTCTCATTTTAGTCTATCCAAATGCACGATGCCATGCAACCCAAATGGACCATGTCGGGTCGGGTCAAGTATATACCAATTATAGTTATGGACTTAGACACTAATCCAACAGTCTCCCAATTGGATAAGTCTAATAACTATTATTGCAAGTATGCCTTCACAACCCGACCAGCAATCGTAGCTCTTAAAAGCTGCTGCCGAACTCTGAACAAATCAATAACGCGCCCATTAGATAAGTGATCATATATTCCTCCATTCTAGATATCATATGGACTGAGACATGGATTATAATCATTCTCTCTGTCCATCTGTTGTTTCCCGATTTCCGATTTATGACGACTGACTAATTGAACAAATCAAATCAGTCCAGGCCCGGCTCGGCCAAGCACTTACGTTTTATCATCACTAAATCATCGAGGGGCCCACAGATATCACTTTTATCCCGAAGGTAAAAGGAATGGATAAACTTCGACTCATATGCTTGTACTGACTACTTGTTGAATCATACACAAAGGCACGTTTTATAACATCGAGTTACCAATGCGTTTACGTGCAATCAATGTAAACAACTCATAGTCAACAACTCATATCTCTAGGTTTGAAGAATATAAGATATTATCGTCTCATGATTCACTCGTGATAAAATCCATGAAGTGATTCAAATGAGCGTGGGTTGAATCCAATACTCAGAACTTATGAGCACTCATGAATGTTGTAGCAACCACTGCTATGTCTAATGCACATTAGACAAATCATACAAGCCAAATTCATGACAGTCTTGATTCATATCTACTTCCAACATATGACCGACTGTGGATGGTTTAAATAACTTAGTCATTCGGGAAGAATGACCTAGTTATTCTGGAAGTCAAAACATGCAAAGTGAAACACAAGAATAATACTAATCCTATATGACCCCAACACTTTGAGTGTAAATAAAAAACATCTTTTATCTAAGCACCATATTGATTACTCATTATTCATGTTTCGATTAATCAACTTAATACTTGAATTGAAACAATAGTTATGCCATGCTCCAAGCATGCACACTATGTTCGTCCAAACAATAGCTATGCCATACTCCAATTATGCACACTATGGTTACATATGGTCCTCTCTTTGTGAAACAGATCGATTGAAAACATTTCAATGATGCTCATTTCACAATCCCAAATCCTTTACAATAAATGCAAGAATACCAAAATTCTTGTCATTTACCGTAATCTTGTTAGATTCTAAACTTATATGCAATGATCCTCTTGTAATGAATATGCACACAAGTCACAAAGACTTGGCAACAGACATTACAAAGTATTCCAATGGAAAGCAATTCCATGGAAACGAAGTCTCAAATTCAAAGTACGTTCCTTTGAACATCCTTCTTTGCATTAAGTTCTTTAATCTTACACAGATTCAAAAAATAACTTCCATCTATGGAAACAATTCCATATTCCCATTTTGACCATCACCTTTTGAACAAGAGTTGCTCCTTTTCAAAATATGTCAATATGATCCTTACTCTATACTTTCAATTGTCCATGAGTAACCAATCTTTGGTAAACCTCAAATTGTCCTCGACAATTGTTTAATCATTTTAGTCATATCCAGTTCTAATCCCTTTTCCCTTCTTAATGCCCTAAGCATTAGGAAAATTTAGAATGGATAAATATTATAGCACATGCAATCGATCCTATATCCTAAGCATATGGGACATGATTCATGCTATAAAAATTTTATTTGCTATATTCTCACAATTCGAACTATGAAGAGGTATGCCGTAATCATACTCGAAATTTTGAGAACGCAACATATACAAAATTTCCTTATGTCGAACCATTCCAACATAACATTCATATATATTCTTGACTAAAGTTGATTAAAATCTCAATCTAAGCCTGTAGAATTGGAATGAAGTATAAAATCCTCTCCCTTAATTATAGGGAAACAACTTTTCAAAGCGAATTGAAACTTTTGTTTTCTATAATTAACATTGCTAACTTGCAACATAATCATCATGCTCCCACT